AACGGGGTGGTTGTGTCGCTTACGATCAGAATATACATTACGCAACAGGACGACGTAAAATTAAAATGGGAAATAACCGTAATAAAAATAAGAAGCGACTGGCTTGGCGTTAAGAAACAGGCATAAATATGATAAACCTAATGAAATAAGTGTCTAACGACCTTTCTACTTACAGTATTAGTGATTACAAACATGTCAGTACATAGCATACGACGCTCGGGCAAGTGGGGACGAAATTAGAATTTGAGCTGAATTACTCTATCCCCTTAATGCTGCTATTTTTCGTATGGTGAAAAGGAGACCATTTTAACTAAAAATGAGGCACTTTAGCTTAGTACTCAGGGGTGATAACGCATCTGCATTTTAACTCTTAATACTTACCATCAGGATGGATTGTGTGTTCATTTGTTACACATATTCGATAAAAAAATCAACCTTACTATAAAGCCGGCAGCCTTTGAGTATTCAACCAAATACTCAAAGCCGGCAGCAGAACGATGTAATATAGACATAGTTACAGCGTTAGCCTATAGTTTGAATGAGCGGTTATCAGCTGCGGTTTGACGTCACATGCGGCATCGACTTGCTATTGACTATGTACCGTGGTAGGCAACATTGCAATGTACCTATGCTATGTTGTCACATATAACTTTAGTATTATAGTAGTGTTGTCTACGATTGTTTAGTATAATGTCGCCTCTACACGTTGGCCAACACAGTGGCGAATGTATTGGCAAATATATTGGTCGAGAGTTGGTGACGGCGTCCACACGTTGGAAGGTCGTTCAGTTTACTTCGGTTCGGGCCAATGTGCGGACGAATTTATTTTATTTTAGACGACGGCTCCGTGGCGCAGTGGCTTGGCAATGAGTGGCTGTGCCAGGGGTCGCGGGTTTGAATCCCGCACGGAACAAGTATTTGTATATCCTACAAATAATTGTTTCGGGTCTGGATGTGTGTCCTTGTGCAATTTATGTTTGTGAGTTGCCTCCGCCATACAGGAGAAAATCCAAGTGTGGGGTAACATTCGCCACTGTGTTGGTAACGTTTTTATAAAATAATTATAAAAGAATAGTGAATATTAATGGGGCTGTAAACAGATATACGATATACGATTAGCTTTATTTATTCTTTACATGCATCAGAAACTGGAATAAATACCACTAATTAGAACTTAACTTATTTTAAAGTTAAAGGAGTTATAATCGATTAGTCTATGTTTTAAAATTGGGTTTTGTTTTTAAAGTTTAGCAAAACATGTACTTGCTTTTCTATCAGACATTTGATGTATATAAAAAACACCTTATAATTTATTAGGTAATTTAATTATTTTTTGAGAAAGACAAAAACAATAGCAATAAATATAATTAACACTGACTTAATAATAGGTACTAATTATAACTTAGAACATAAATGAAAAACTCATGACAAGGAAAGTGGCTCAGGACCATGCTTTGCGGCATTCTTTGGAGGAGGATGTTCAGTAGTGGACTTGTGAAGAGCTGTAATGATGATGATGATTCGAAAACTTGCACGATTAAATTATAAGAGATCGACGCTTTTTTATATAGGATAGAGTGACAAACGAGCACACAGTTCACTTGATGGTAAGTGGTTGCTGTGGCCCACAGACATCTACATCTATCCTCGATTACGAATCAAAATGCAGATGCGTTGTCACCCGTGAGGACTAAGATGAAATGCCTCGTTTCCTTTAAAAAGTGTCTCTGGTTCTCTACACTCACTATACGAAACATCATTACCGCATCATCACAGCATCATAAAGCTACTATTTTACATTGATATTCTGTGAGAGCGTGGTCCTTCCTCGGTCGAACCGACCCATTCGTGCTACAACTATACTTCTAATATAACTGCATGGTTCTACCACGTATAAACGACGTGCTTAATTTTTTTTCATTTCAAAATTGTTCTCGTAATAATCTGATTGTAAATAAATGTTCATATTTTTTTTTATAAATAGCTTATCGATTAAAACAAATGTTTAAAAATAATTAAATCGCGCTAATTAAAGTAGTAGGAAAGTTTAAAGTTGAAATTAGCACTAAAAGTCTGGTAATTGGGTCATCCACCCTACAAAGCGTGAATATAAAATTTTAATCAGATGCGTCTGATCACTCTGGGAGCTTGTAGCAAACTAGCAAACTAAACTCGCGGCCACCGTGTGGACGCGGCGACCAAACTATGCCAACAATCCTTCGATCTTTTGTAAAAAACCGACACCACACGGATCTCGCGCCAACTTGCGGGCCATCGTTCCAATACATACCAATGAAGCCCAAACACCCCGTCTACACGTTGGCCAATGCTATTGGCCACTACATTCGCCACTGTGTTGGCCAACGTGTAGAGGCGCCGTTAGCCTAAAGAACAATCACAATTAATCTTGAACGACTTACGATTAGGGTTGATGAGGATTCCTCTTCCTCATTCTCATAATGCGGAAGTTCCTCATTTTTTAGCGATTCCTCATCCTCTTCCACATCCTCAAAATCAGGCATAAAATATTCCTCTTCCTCTTCCACATCCTCATTAATTGAGCAGAATTTATGAGGAAGTGTTGTTGACGTATTCAATGTAAATATAAGTAGGGTCGTTGCGCTGGTTTTCGGCCTTTTAGTGGAGTTGTCAACTTTAAGGTACTATAAAAAATAATAGCGATTATGTTGACCTAGTGTTGTTAATGTTAATTTATAGCTTATATAATGTAGTTTTCATTTTGATAAATCATTAATGGTACAAAATAAATCTATTTTTTATAATAAATTTTGATGTGAAAAATATGCAAAACGCTAGTTTTCGGCCCCAAATTTTAGATTTCGGCCTACAAGAATTTTAGTTTTCGGCCACTGTATTAGAAGAGGTACTATAAACTTAAAAGTGTTTTTGTAAAATCAGAAAATGGTAAAACGGTTTGGGAAAATCGGTGATTGCGATTTTTTAACCGTGACGTTATTTTTTTCTTTTTTGGGTGTGTTTATGATATAAAATAATAACCATGATTAATTATTTCTCTTTGAATCATAATCTAATAATAAAATCTTTTAAATATAGCAATCAAATATTCTCATTTACGAGTATTTTGTACTTCCTCATAAGTATTTTAGTTTAACAAAATCTGTTACCATATCTAACCATTCTCATCTCTAACCAAGAGGAGCCATCTGAAGAAAAAAAAATCTTTTTGAATCTTCTTCCTAAAACGCAATGTGAATAAAATATTTGATATGATAAGATGAAATGGCCGTAAACGTAAACTAAGACAGCATTCCATTTTCCGCCGCCGTATTCTTTCATACAATTTTAAGTTGGCCGAAAACTAAATTGTATATATTTTAGAGTCAATCCAGTTTTCGGCCACGACTGAAATGGGTATTTTGTTTCATCACTAACTGTTCAAATTGCAGTACTTGTTAAGTTAGTGTCTACGCACGCTACGATTCAATATAAGTAAGAAAGATGAGTTATAGTACGTAACCAAATAAACGAAAGAGACAAAGAATTTAGGCTAAACTCAGGCTACTTTTCGGCCGCATGGCCGACAACCAAATAATGGGACAATTTTATGTGTCACTTTCGGCCACTTAATTTATTAACTTTATCAATTTATTATTATAATAATCAGTGTCAAATAACTATATTAGGTTATTTATATAGTGAAATATAAGCACAATATTAAGTAATTATATTAAATACAGCAAATACGCACGAAACTTACTTTTGAATGGAACGCTCGCCACTGTTTTTTTTGCTCCATCTTACTCGTTTTGATAGCTTCAGTGTCGGCGTCAAACTAAACTATTTATTATAAATCGCGTGTTGTGTTTACCTGATTAATTAATGCTACCGGATATAGTGAAACTATTTACAAATGCATTAAACTGTATTTATTACGATAATATTTGTTAAAATTGTTATTAAATCAAATTTACTGCATCAGCTCGTGCCAAAGGCCGAAATCTAGACCCGGCCGGCTTACCGGCGCATCGACCCTAATCTCCGTCTTTTGCTCGCTGCATTAGGTACTTTCACGATCAGGCTTGAACGTGTTTTAGAAATATAACACAGCACGCTATTGTGTATGTCACTGTGTGTGTGTGTAGTAATGTAGTGTACGTACCCATCCCACTGTAGCCATTTAGCCAGTCTTAAATTTGTTTTGTTTTTGAGTGGTCGTACACTCGTACGTAACTAGAACTACGTAAGTCGTAATTAGGTTTATTGTTAAGTTAAAAAGTTTATGAGATGAGGCCAAAATGTAGTGCTATATGGACGTATTTTAGTGAAGTGGACGCTGATACTGTTAGATGTAAAATATGTGATCAAACATAATCAAGGAAAGGGCGCGGGACTTCGGGGTTAAGAAGTCATCTCAAGTCACGCCATGAAGTAGAATATGCCGAGTATGAACAAAAGGATACAGCATTAAAAAAAGCCGCGGTTGATAAACGCAAATTGTCGGAAGAGACTCCTCTTCAACAGGCTAAGAGACAAGTAACTTTACAGGAGGCATTACAAAGACATCAGTATTGGGATACATCTCACGAAAAAAGCTGCGAGCTGGATAATTTAACTTGCGAAATGTTAGCTCTTCAAGATTTACCATTTAATTTTGTTGAAGGAATTGGCTTTAGACGGTTGATTCATGCTGTTCAGCCAAAATATAATGTAAGAGGACGTCAAAGTCACACATCTCATTTGTGTAATTATATTTATCCTAAATTAAGGAACAAGGTAAACAACTTAATTAAAGATTTGCAATAGTTATCTTTCACCACTGATATATGGACTGAACAGGACAGGAGCAGGAGTTTCGTTGCTAAGTTTTACAATTCATGGTATCAACAATGACTTTCAAAGAGTATCTTTATTTCTTAAATGTGTCCCACTCGAGGAGCGGACATACGGGCGATGTGATAGCACAAAAGTTGGACGAAATACGAGAGGAATGGGAGATTTCCCGTAAAAAAATACATATCATGGTTCGCGATGGTGGTTCTAACATGAAAAGAGCGGCCCGCGTGTCACAGATTATCGCCATTGATTGCAATATACATCAATTGCAATTGTGCATACGTGCGGCCTTGGCGATTGATGAATGTATTTCGTCCTTGTTGGCAAAATGTAAGCAAATCGCGACACATTTTAACCACTCAATAATTGCCCAAAGCGAATTAAAAGGTTTTCAAGAACGTCTGGGTCTGCCTCTGCTTTCAGTTATTCAAGAGTGTCCTACAGATGGAATAGTATGTTTAATATTATTCAACGTCTAATTGAAATAAAGGATGCCATAGTACTTTATACCTCACAACATACAAATTTGCCGCAGTTTATTCCAAACGATTGGCTACAACTTGAGAGCTGTGCAACAATCCTTAAGCCATTTGAAGAGGCCACCAAGACCATGAGTAGTTCCGAAGCCTGTATTTCATCCGTGATCCCTCTAATCCATGTCTTGACCTGCACATTGGAGAATCTATTGAGACAGAATATAAATAATACTGGCCAAACTTGCGGGAATATTATTCAAAAATTGATAGAAGAAATTACCAATCGCTTTGGTGACCTTCATAATAATAAGATCTACACAATCGCTACTTATTTAGATCCAAAATATAAAACTAAGTTTTTTAATGAAATCACTAAAGAAAGTATTGAGTCCGAACTGATTTCTTTATGTCAAGATCAAGAAGGCCATGGCGCACAAGCACAACCACAAATACAGTCATTCGAACATGATGTTATTCAACACAATCAACACTTTCATCATACCGATACCGAGAGCCTACCATCAACGAGTTCTGGAGCTAACTTTTCTACAGGCAGATTTTTACAATCAATGTTATCTGAGATGCTGGCCTCAGCTCCTAATAGTGACGATGAAGAAAATCCAATCGCACCCATCGACAGATTTCTTATCCTGAAGTCACTAATAATTAATTATATTAAAGAGAAGAGAATAGGTCTTCAAGAAGACAGTCTTTTGTGGTGGAAAATGAACCCCAAATATTTTGAACTTTACAGAGCTGTGCGCCAGTATCTTTCAGCCCCTCCATCAAGTGTCCCCAGTGAGCGCCTTTTCAGTGGCGCTGGATTAGTTTACGACGAATTACGAAACCGTCTATCTGGAGAAACGGCTTCAAAGTAAATTTTCGTTAAATTCAACCTCCCTATTGTGAATTTTGATTATTAAATTGTCTTTTTTTCTTTCTAAATATTAAAAGGCCCATTCGCAATCTTTCTATTATTTAAAATTTCAATTCCAAATCACAGGTTCTATATTCCTCTTCCGCATCCTCTTCCTCATCCTCATCCTCCTCCTCATATCCTCATCCTCTTCCTGTTCCTCAAAACGTATTTTTAATAGCCCCCCCTATGTACCGACCTTTTTGCTATGAAATTTGTTGCCAAAATTAATATTAAATACACCTTTAATTAAATATTTAATATTTTTCTATAAAATCGCCAAGGTTTTTAAGTTAATAGTATAGTTTTAGCTTGCAACATGGCTCTAACACGTAAAATATGTGAATATGATATCTTCATAACAGTATCGTATAATCAATATATTCTACGCTGTTGTGTATGGGCGACTACCAGCTTGATTTCCATGACAACATGTTAACGATTCGACGATGTGTGTGGTAGTACACTGCGTTTATCAAATGTTTGTAGAATATTTTTGCAGTGCCGTTAATGTACTATAACTAAAGGTCAAACTCAACAAAGGTCAACACTTTTTTATCTAGCTAATTGCCTCGATATTACATTTATCAATGAATAATAATAATTGTTAAAACTATTCTCTTACTTATCAATAAGCAGATTGCAGTCACTAATTAGTTCCATTCTGAAAGGCTCTGAGACATTTTATCTTAGACCCTCAATGGTCTACATTTTGCTCAGAATCATCAATGACCTAGTGTGTTTAAAGTAACCTAGTGTGATTAACGTACAAATTCAGAAATAATGCAAGACAGGAATGGAGCCCCCCCCCCCCCCCCAGTATTTCTATTATAGAGGTATAGATATAGGCATAGGTACATATTTAACGTAATAGATCCATGCTACAGCAATATTATGGTTGTAGCATACCTAAATGGGTCGGCTCGACCGGATGGATAAGTACCACGCTCTCACAGAATACCAGCGTAAAGTAGCACTCAATGCTGCTGGCCTTGATGAAGCCGCCTAATGAGTGTAGACAACCCGAGACCATTTTTAATGGATAGGAGGCATTCCATCTCATCAGGATAGATGTCTATGGGCCACAATACCCACTTACCGTCAGGTGGGCTGTGTGCTCGTTTGTCGAACTTCTTCTATAAAAAAACAGACACGCGAGCATTTTTTAAATCGCGTCTTATCATTGTTGTATTTCTTTATTATCTACAGTTTTCTAAGGAATCGAGCTCTTAGGTATATGGAATTTATGACAGGCACCCTCGTACGAAGTACCACAATTCACTTACATTGATACGTTAAATAGTTATTTAAACAAAATGATAAATCTAGTAACTAGTATCTTGTAGATAATACGCGTAGACTAGTGCAGTTATTTATGTTTACGAGGATCACGTAAGAAGAACCAAGAAAATACACTAAAAAGCGGCTTTTACTAGATGTTAAAGAAAACAAATGTTAATTTAATTCACCATTTCACTGTTCCGTGGGTCATATATTATAAACATTTCGATTGTTTAATTAATTGTGTTTTTCGCGGACAGGGAAGTTGTTAATTTTGTTGGTATTCTGTTTTATGTTTGATCTTTGATGTTGCTAGGTTTTAAGTAACAAAAAGGGGGGGGGAGTTCCGCTATTGATCGAAGGTCAAGACCGTTATGACTTTATTAACTGTAATAATAGTCGACAAATGTCACGACATCGACGGGACGAGAGGGCATGAGTGGTGAGGGGTTCTTTAAAGCCGCTAGTTCACAATAAAATTTATGTTGTTTGTACAAAAATAACATTGAGTATTAAAATTATTAAATGCGAGGTCATATTCGTTTTAATTAAACACCATATTTTAAAAATTGAATTTCCTCAAGTTTTATAGACGTCATGCCCCCCATGCGCTATTTATTTTTCATTCACTGATATATTTAAAGTACCTAACATTGAATAAGTAGGTAATAATACCAAATGCTACATAAATTATACTAAATAGCGATCACTCGATCACGGTCCAGATTTTATAAATTTTCATTTATGCACTAAACCAACATATTTTGTGAATATGAGTCATTTTGGTCCATAAATATAGAACTTTAAATAACATGACAGCGCCACTTATCATCTAAGCATCTATCTTGTGATTAGAACGTTCGAGCTGTCCAAAAGTTACACGTTCACTAACAGACGCACCTACTAAAAATAAGTAGATATAAATTTGTAACATGTAATCACCGTGTAGTGGTCGTCTAAGAATATATATCGTTCTTTGAGTATCGTAAGAGGCGGGATAGAGGAACAAATCACGAGATGGACAGCATCATCTTCTATTAACAACTTTAAAAAAATTGCGGTTGCCAATTCTCCTGGCAAGCATTGCAACTATGGCAAATAACCCCACCATATGCAACAATTGATGATGGAGGCCTATATTCACCAGTTCACTTTTGAAAACCTGAATTTGAGTAAAAGGAAATGTTATAAACTGTCTGTTGCGAGCTGAAAAAATAATTTTCTATAGACGAGTAACCGCGTTTTTTGTGAGCATATTGTTACAACATTATGCTCTTCTTAATCATGATCTTAACGCTTTATGAGCACAATTTTGTAATGTGATGTAGATTGTATGGGCATTTAGAAAACAATAGTATAAAAAGCATAGTTTTCACAATGAACATTTTGTAAATTTTGCAAAACTACGAGATTCTCCAGAATTGTTTTCCCTTTAATTTATGAGTAGCAGAGTGGCGGTACCATGATGACATTATTGTGAGGTATTTGTGAGGGAAGTGATGTCCTCCAGATCAAATTTTGGTCACGGCGGCGGTAGGAGACTGATCTGGCTTTACGGCCTTTCCGAGGAACGGGGTGAGATACTGCCAACTTCCTGACTCCGGGCAGTTTCTGAGAATTTCTTGATGGAAAAACGCAATAATTCATATTTTTGGCCAGACACGGGATTCCAACTCGGCACCTCATGACTAGTAGTCGCACTACTATAACCACTAGACCAACGAGATATTTGTGTATACAATCAATGTATTTGCCATTAAATCTATGATTAAAAACCGGAAATCTGCTGAGAAAGTTGTTCAGATCGTGTGGATACAGTACATGTTCTTGTGTACTTAAGACAAGTAAATAATCAAAGGTACTTGTGTACTTTTGATTATATACTTGTCTTTGATTATATAGGTACTTTATTGGTAAAAATCGAAATATTTGAAGTCATTTTGCTTTTCCTCTGCTCTGTTATTATGTCGTAAGTTTTGGCTTTCTCTACAATTTAGCGTCATTGTCCAAATGGATCAAGTCCATTTTTCATTGAAACCTTTCGCCTTTATTAATTTCTTATAATTAAGATGATCCTTTAAAGATTGTAGGGTTATGCTTTTCAGGATGCACAGGATAATCATGCTCGTCCATACACCAGTGGAACAATTCTACTTAATAATGGTCCGCTCCACATCGTAGCTAACGAATTCCAGAAGACCCTTTTACAGGAAACGAGGCATTCTATATTAGTCCTCAGGGGGTGATAACGCGTCGGCATTTTGATTATAATTTGAGGATAGATTTAGATGCCTATGGGGCACAGCATCCATTTATCTCGGATCGGGTTGTCTGTTTGTTCGTTTGTCATACTAATCCTGTAAAATAAAATGAACTTTTAGATTCTATTATCAAAATTAAGAATATAAATTTAAAGAATTATTTTATTTTAAAATACTGTTTTGTAGTCTTAAATTTTCGAAACGTGGTCGCTGGTGTGACGCGGAAACTATAGTCCGCGTTGTAATGTTTGTAGTGAATAAAAATACCAGATCGGAAGACCAAAACATCTGATGTAAAGTTAAAAGTAAAGTTACAGTCTATATACGTCCCACTGCGGGGCACAGGCCTCCTCTCATTTCTGAGAGGGTTTTAGGGCAAGGAATAGTCCGCCGCGCTGCCCCAATGCGTGTTGGCGAACTTCACATGTCTTCGAAATATTTTTTTCTTATTTCTCAGACATGCAGGTTTCCTCGCGATGTTTTCCTTCACCGACGAGCACGTGGTAAATCAGCACTTAAAATTGCAATTAACAATTTTATTGGTGCCGGCGGGGATCGAACCTGGTTTGCTCGCGTATTGTGAAATTTACAGCGAGCGCTAACCATCTGAGCTACCACGGCTCTGATGATTTTGAGGTTATTATCGAGAAAAATAAATATTAAAAATAAAGTTAAAATAAAAGTAATTAATAGGCTACAAAAAGACTTAACATTGTTGATACACAACTAAAAGTACATGAAATTTTTAGGTTGCCGCATGTATTTGGCATTGGATTTTACAGAGTCCAACAATTTAGATTCTTTAGTATTCAGAAAAGATTTAAAATTCAAACAATTTCCTTCAAAGTTCTGGCAACCCTTTTAGTGAAAATGCAAGTTGTGACGAGACACGGATATCTTGTAATCCAGTTAAGTAACACGATCATGTATCTAGGTTTCCCATTACGGGTATAAGAAGATAAAAAGTAGCTTGCGCTAGTTTTATGCCTTAGACGGTATTGTCTTTACAAAGGTTCCCAGTATAGTGTTGAGATATTACGAAACGTGGAATGCAAGTAATACAATGACTGTGGGTTAAAAGTAGTGATACAACGAATACTACTTTTACGAATACGAATATCAAACATACTATTCGGCGAATGCGAAAACGAATACGAATATCACTCCATGGTAATAAATAACTAATTCATTTGATGATTTTCTATTGTTCTAATAATTAGAATTTACAATAGGCAAGTGTTTATTTAAAAAAAAACATAAAATTTGTAGATTTTCTGGTTTTAGGCGATTTCTTTTTTCAGTCTGGATGTTCCCAGCCGTTAAAAAAAGCCTTTCCGAGGCGACTGGTACATGATTGCAGAGAAAAATATTTTTGGGCGAGTTTTTTCAGCCTTGGAAAATGGTCATCTTCTCGCCAAAA